CTGTAAGAAATGGTATATAAGGAGTTAAAGCTTTGTAATAAATTGGCATTCGCTGATCACATTGATCGTTCCTGCGTTGTCCGTGACTCCTGCGTCGACATTTCCAATCCCCCTGCCATGGGCAGGGACACTTCCCACTAAACCATTTCACCCAAGGCTCTGTCCAACCCGGCCTTGAACACTGCCAGGGATGGAGCATTCACAACTTCCCTGGGCAACCCATTCCAGTGTCTCACCACCCTCATGGTAAAGAACTTCCTCCTTATATTGAGGACTTCCCCTGTTTAAGTTTTCACCCATTATCCCTTGTCCTATCACTAAAGGCCCCAGCAAAGAGACCCTCTCCAGCATTCTTGTACGCCCCCTTCATATACTGGAAGGCTGATATGAGGTCTCCACGCAGCCTTCTCTTCTCCAGCCTCAACAGCCCCAACTTTCTCAGCCTGTCTTCATACAGGAGGTGTTCCAGCCCCCTAATCATGCTCGTGGGCCACCTCTGGACTTGTTCCAACAGTTCCATGTCCTTCTTATGTTGAGGACACCAGAACTGCACACAATACTCCAAGTGAGGTCTCACAAGAGCAGAGCAGAGGGGCAGGATCACCTCCTTCGACCTGCTGGTCAAGCTCCTTTTGATGCAGCCCAGGATACGGATGGCTTTCTGAGCTGCAAGCACACACTGCCAGCTCATGTTCATTTTTTCATCGACCAACACCCCCAAGCCCTCCTTTGCAGGGCTGCTTTAAATCTCTTCTCTACCCAACCTATAGCTGTGCCTGGGATTGCTCCAACCTGGGTGTAGCGTGGTTAAACTTCATGAGGTTGGCATCAGCCCACCTCACAAGTGTGTCAAGGTCCCTCTGGATGGCATTCCTTCCCTCCAGTGTATCAACTGAACCACACAGCTTGGTGTCATCGGCAAACTTGCTGAGGGCGCACTCAATCCCACTGTCCATGTCAGCAACGAAGATGTTAAACAAGAACGCTCCCAACACACATCTCTGAGGGACACCACTCGTTACAGGTCTCCAGCTGGACACTGAGCCATTGACCATAACTCTTTGTGTGCAGCCCTCCAGCCAGTTCTTTATCCACCGAGTGGTCCACCTATCAAATTGCTGTCTCTAAAATTTAGAGACAAGGGTGTTGTAGGGGACAGCGTTGAACACTTTGCACAAGTCCAGGTAGATGACATCAACTGCTCTACCACTGTCCATCAGTTCTGTAGCCCCATCATAGAAGGCCACCAAATTGGTCAGTCAGGATTTCCCCTTAGTGAAGCCATGCTGGCTGTCACCAATCACCTTGTTGTTTTTCATGTGCTTCAGCATGCCTTCCAGGAGAATCTGCTCCAAGATTTTGCCAGGCACAGAGGTGAGACTGACTGGTCTGTAATTCCCTGGGTCATCCATTTTCCCCTTCTTGAAAATGGGGGTTATATTTCCCTTTTTCCAGTCGTTGGGAACTTCACCTGACTGCCATGATTTTTAAATATGATGGACAGTGGCTTAAACTTCTTCAGTAACTTAAGATTTTATAAATCTCTAGCTAACTTTTTTAAGTAGGCCATCAACTGCACACAGAGTTGAAGATGGAGGCACAGCACAAATATTAACAGTGACATAATTATGTTCTCTTTCTCTGTCTTACCAGTTGCCAGCAAAGTCCTACAGGCTAGATCATGAGATTCACCAGTGGGTGCTGTTACGAAGATCATCACTCTATGTTGTGATGGAGTATCTGTTCCAGGCCTTGCTGACACAGTGGTCACTGATAGCTATCTACTGCTCAGAATGGTTTTTAGTCTTCGTCTGACTTGGAATTGGGAATCTATCAAAAGGACTGTCAATTCAGACATAGCAACTTCCTAGTAACATGTATGTAGTCGGATGTTAGAAAGAGGAGGGCAGGCTTGGGACTTGAGGACTTTCAAAGATAGTCTTGATTTGCTAGCTATATCTGTATTTGTCTATGGATAACCTCTGAGTCCAGGATGCAAAAGTAGGTTTCATGGGTTCATTCGATACATTTGAAGTTTGAGAAAGGAACAGTACAATCACACTGCACACACACAAGTTGATCCCAAAATAACTATGACCTGCCAATGCAATCACAGAAACAAGACACTGAGAGGCCTTGGGAGCAATGTTCCTAGCAGAGGTTGGAAGGGATTAATAAAATTGTCCTTGATGCTGGCAAGATACCCTCCAGAACACTGTGTGCCACTCTAGTCATCTCTGTTGAAGATAAATAAATAATAATGAAACTGGAGCAGAAAGCAATTGCTGAGATGAGGGAGAGAGCAAAGTTAGGGGAGCTCATCTAGCTTAGCATAGTCAAACAACTGCTAAGGGGGACATTTTTGCCTGTAAGTGCACAAAGAGTAAAAAGGGTAAATGCTATGGAGTGGGAGCTATTTAAGGCCAATGCTGGCACAAGAATACATGGATTTAAACCAGTCATAAATATATATTTAGCAAGAAAATCAGAAGAAGGTTCTGGGAACAGCTTCCCAGTGGGAATAATGGTGGCAAAAGAGCATAAGATGAAACTCGATACATTTATGAAAGGATATATATATATATCATTTGCAAAGGCCGAATGGCTGCAGCAACCCAGGAAATCCCTCCACCTTATGCATCAGTTTATTTTGAGCCCTTACAGGCAAAGAGTAGCATTTCACCCTCCCATTCTTCTTCCTGCTCCAGCCATCTGCAGTCGGTCTTCAGCACCTCTCTTAAAAGCTGTTTAAAGATTGGACACCAAACTTATCTTGCATGCCTGAATTCTGTTTTGCTGTTCCTCAGAAAGGAAAAGTTTAGTAAAGCACTGCCTAATTTATATATGCATAAATTTGTATTTAATAAATCTTCTCATACACGTAAAGAACTATGTTTCATCCAAATTTTCTTACCACCAGACCTGCTTATTAACCAGCTTGCTACAGCATCCAACCAATACGCAAGCACTATTTTTCTCCAGGTTGCCCTGCTGAAACGTATTTGATAGCCATTCTCTGGGTAATGCAATCACTAAGCAAACCTTGGGAGATATCCTACTCATATTCCTGCAAGGGACACCTTCATTGTGTTCCAATGTGTCTAGCAAGTTAAAAAGTTTCTTCAGCAAGGTGTCTTTCCCTGCCAGCCTCAAAAACATTTGAGGTGGACTTAAGAATTAGACTCAGAATCTGTCATTTTGGGAAATACCAGCCTGGTTACATCATCTAATTTTCACAGAGAAAAAGGATGGATGGTCCTTTCCCTTATGTCTCTTTTCTAGGAATATAAGAAATGGTTTAATTTAGCTTTTGTTTTTGTTCCCTGCAAATTTTTGGAGATGCCCAGCATCCCTCCATATAACAAACAAATGCCTTCTCACTTCCTTGAAATAGGCTTCTTTCAAAGGTAATGTTATCTTTGACCTCACATTATTTGCTGTCCAATATGAAAATGACATGAAGATTTTTCATTTATAGTTTTTTGAGGAAGACAAATTTATAAATGTATTTGTCTAGTAACCCTGTTTCTTCAAATGTAATGTCTAGCTAGCTCTTTCCTGATCCCTTCGCAGTTGGGGCAGACGCTAATCTCCAGCAGATTTCATTCCTGATGCTTTGCAGAAGTCATGCATATCAAACTGCCTTAAAATCTTTGTGTTACCTCCCTAGGCTAACATTTCACCTGTCTGCACACAAAAGGAAAACAATCACAACCCTCACAATCTGCTGCACCAAATAATGAGAAAGATGGAAAGTGGCAACTGAGACTGCAGTCAGTGTTCAGTCAGCTCAGGCTGTCACAGGCTACCTGATGGTCTTTTTCCTGCAAATCATTAACACCAGCAATGTCCAAAAGGCTTAAAGAAGTTTTCTGCATAGAGTGCGAAGAACTCTGTACAATGGGATTGATTTGCTAAAGTTCTGAAGGAATTTAAAGGTTGATTTTGAGATTTAGAAACAGTGCTTTTTTCCCATCTGGGTAACTGTCATTTATGGGGCTAAAAGGGGGGACGGAAAGCTGCACGAAAACAGCATGACCACTACTGGTGAGCCAGCCGCTGTGGTCCAGTGGGGCACTTCATCTACCCACCCCCGGGCCCGGATGCCGGCAGAACGTGCTGGCAGCGAGAGCAGCAGGCGGCCCTCTCCCGGCCCTCTTCCTGCCCCAGGGCCTGGGCGACTGCAGGGGGCAGTAGGTGCTCACGATCGGAGACAGGGCAGCAGCTCCGCGCCAGCCGAGGTCGCTCAGCTTTACGCTGAGCCCCACAACGGCAGCCCGGGGGCGGGGAGAGGAAACGAGGCCCCCGGCGATGGGCAAACCTCCCCCTCCCCCCATCTCCCCGCGGGCCTCGGGGTCGCACCGTGTCGGCTTTCCTGGAACCAGTTATGTAAGTCAGCTACGCCCGGCCCGGGCACCCCACAGAGCGGGGGCAGCCGCCGTGGCACCTACCCGCCCTACGGGGCCACCTGACTGGGGAAGGGGTAAGAAGGGAGAACCCCCCTTCCTCTCGCCCGCCGCAGGCCCCAAGCGCCGGTAGGCCACGGGAGCGCAAAGAGCAGGAACCGCCCCAGCTCCCGCGGGCCTAGCCGCTGTCGGCGCAGAGCGGAGGCGGGGCCAAGCACCCTCCCGCTCCGCACCTCACCTCACAGCCCTACCCGGCCACTTCCGCCCGCGGGGGGAGGGGCCGCCGCGAGCGCAGCGCAGCGCACCACCCACGTGACCCGTCGCAGCACTGCCGTTTGGCGCGGTGACCGTGGCTTCCCCTGCCGGCGGCCGTATCCCTCCGCCCGCCGGCCACCTATTCCCGCAGGGAAGAGGGAGCAGCGGGTGCGGCGAGGTGAGGGGCGGGAGGGGCGGTGGGTGGCACCGAAGGAGGCAGAAAGGTGGCGGGGTAAGGTGACTGCTGGCCGGTTCGTGGGGGACTACTTTCTCGATACGGCGGAGGCGGCAGAGGGGGCGGGGCGGGGCTGACTCCCCTCTCGGAAGCTGCAGCCATGATGGGAGTCTAACGCTGGCGCGGCGCTGCTGGGCGCGGAGCAGGCCGGGGGGGATGAGCCAGGCCGCGCTGCTGGCCCGCACACCCTGAGGAGCCGCCGCTGCTGCCGCCGGCCCGCCGCGGAGCGCCCACCCGGCGGCGCGGCCCCACCGCGCGGCTCCGGGCCCGCAGCCGCTACCGCCGCCCCAGGCGGGGAGCGGAGCGGGGCGGAGCGGGGCCGGGCCGGGGGGGCGCCCCGCGCCGCTGTCACCATTGCTGGGGCCCGGAGCGCCGGAGAGCTGCTCTCTCCGCCTCCGCCTCGCTCGCCTCAAAGACGGCGGCGGCGGCGGCACCCTCAGGGACTTGGCCCGGCTCCGGACCTTCTCTGCTCGCCCGCCGCCGCCGCCGCTGCTGCTCCCGCCCCGCTCGGCGCAGCGGCGGCAGGAGGAGGAGGGGGCAGCCGCCGGGAGCCGCCGCCGCCGCCGCGGAGGGAGGCGGGCCCGCCTGGGGCTGAGCCGCCGGCGCAGCAGGCCCCACGCCCGGGGCCGCGCGGGGGCCGCCGGCCCACCGTCGCCTCGCGGTCCCGCGCCCCGCCGCCGCTCGGCCCCTGTACGCAGTCCCGGAGCGGCCCCCGGCTGCCAGACATGACCGCCATCATCAAAGAGATCGTCAGCAGGAACAAAAGGCGATACCAGGAGGATGGCTTCGACCTGGATCTGACCTGTATCCTCCCGCCGGGGACGGTGCACAGCACCGGGCGCTGCACGTACAGCTATTGCATCAGACCTGCGCGGTGGTTACCTAACGTGCTTCCCGGTGCCGCTTCGCCGGGAGGCCGGCGGTTGCTGCCGGGGCTCGCCCGGGCCGCCGCGCCTTCCCCCGCCACCGCGCCGCCTCGGCCTGCTTTTGTCAGGACGGCCGCCGAGCCGGGGCCCGGCAGCCGGGCAGATTAACGGGAACTCCGTGGTGGCGAGGATTAACGTTAGCGCTCCTTGGCGGTTGCAGTCGGCCAAGCTGCCTGCTGGCTTGCCTGCTGTCACCCCCCCCGTCGCGGAGGTGCTGTCGTTCCCCCGGCCTGGGGAGCCCCTACCTGCTCTGGAGCAACGCGGGTCTGCTGCTTCCCTTTGGTTATGTTGTTTTTTCTGGCACACATAGCGAATGTGTGCTGTCGTGACTCATGTCTAGAGTAATTTTTTAAAATATTTTTTTATTTTTATTTAGTAACAGCTCTTGACTTACAAATATCATGGCAGGTCTGTCACTAAAGGTTGCTTCAGCCTTCACGGCAGGAGAGGTGAAGCTGGTGTCGTCTGCCCTGATTTTCGTATCTTCATTAAGGCAGAGTTTGTGCTGTGTTGCCATATGATGCGGCAGGGTTTCTCGACGACAAGAGGTGGCAATCACTTTTTCCGAATTAAAAAATGCCTCTTTTCCGAAAGCGATGCATGAACTGCGCTTTGGCATAATCTCAGATACACTAAAAATACGAGTATGTGTTGCAAATGAGAGCACGGGTCTCATTGAGGAGGACTGTTGAGTGTAATTCTGAAATACGTAATTAGTATGCAATTACGACTGATGAGTCAAACCATAGAGAAGCATTGCTAGTGTATAGCTTTGGTGGCCTTTAAAACAGATGTACTGTAGCGGTGACAGATGTGTAGCTTTGAATGCCTTGCAGAGTTATGTAGGGGCTATGCTGTGGGCATGGTCTATCTGGTGGAGAAAGATCATCACTGAGAAGTGAGGTTCTTACTCCACAGCCTAAAAGTTGGGACTGTCCTAGGAAAAATGAATATTGATAGCAGTAGTCAGAGCTGGACTTGCCCCACAGAAAGAGTGCTTTCTGTTCTGCAACAGGGTGAGAATAAAATCTGTTGGGTTTTGGAGCAATTACACTTGTGTCATATCAAGTGCTACAAATAAATCCAAATCCTAGGCAGCATCAAAACCAGTAACAGCTGTAATTAGTGCAGAACTTGTACTGTTGCACTGAGCCTTTGCCTAAAATTTTAGTGGCTTTAAACTGGCCTGGAACATTCTTGACTTTAGCAGGTGGCTGCTGAGCTTTTAGTTAAAAAGCAGCAGCTCTAGTACGTGATTTCTGCGTTCTGTGCATGGTACTGATAAAATACAACTTTGGACTTGCATTTTTGAATGGTTACACTTGGTCATTTTGTTGGCCTACAGCTAGGACAGCTGTAACACTGCCACAGACCAGCACAGCACTTACTGCTTGACTTAATGGCAGAAGTCTTGAGTTAGATTTTTTATTTTTTTTTTAATTCTCTGAGAGATGGGTTTGCCAGGAACTTCGAGGTTATGAGAAGAGTTAAGTGGTGGCAAAACGGTGAGGTTTTGGCTTCATAGTTGAAAAGATTGGTGTTTCAGTTATCTGCCCAGATATGTCATTGGTAGGGAGAGCTTTTTTTTTTTTTTTGACCAAACCAGATCTTTTTAACTAGTCATTTGCTCCCAGCAACAAAATTGGTGGATGTTGAACCTTGATTTTCTTGCTCAAGGTTGCTAATCATATGCCAGATGGAGTTTGTTTATTTTTTACTTTTTCATTTGATAACTTTATTCTTACAATTTTGCATTAGAAGTAGGCCACTGAACAGTGGGTTTGAGCTAGTTTTTTTGTTTTTAGAAGGAGCAGCTAGCTGAAATTTTGTCATGAAATTTATGTAAGAGGTGTGGTTTTTTGTGATTGCAGAAATCTCTGCAAGAAGCTTATACTGAGTCTTTTTTTTTTTGTCTTGTAGCTGTAGATTTTGAACAGATAATTAATGAATAGAGACTGCTGCCTGCATAGTATAACGGCTTTTCTTAAAGGCTGATGTTGCTGCAGAAGTGAAAGCATAATCTTTTTTTTAATCACTTTGTGCAGGCTTTCTAGAGATGTTCTTTTTGTAGAGCTTCGGTGGAGTTGTTGCTCATCGTACCTGGTAGCTGGGAAGTAATCTAAACTTTACTTTGCACATGTAGAAGGGAGGACCAAGCTGGGAGTTATCTCTTCAAACATGCAACATTAGATGAAGAAAGAGAAAGCTTGCTTGGGAAGGTATGTGGTGTGTGGTAAGAGGTTCGATAGTTTTAAGTTCTCAAAAATACCTCTCAGTGTGTGCCGGAGTTTAAAATTTTGAGACCAAACAAGCTACCATGTGCATTTCTGCTGCTGGTTAGCCTTGCTTCAGTGTGTACCCATATCTGTAGGAGTGTCTTCTATTACAGATTAGTGGTTATTTCAGGGTAGTTGCTTCTGTCAAGCCAAAAGAGAAAGCCTCACATGAGCTGGGTAGCCCAGTGATTGGGCTTTTAGCCAGGATATAGGAAATAGAGGTATGAATGCCTCCTGCAGTAAATGGTTCTGTACAGGTAGTTCAGTGGTGGTGGCTTCAAAATGCTCAATACCTGGTGATTGCTACCCTAGCTTTAGGAGGTGAGGAATAAAATGAATCTACAGTGAGTCCAGGTGAGTTGCCTGATGTCCAGCCTATATTCTATGCTCTTTTACACATATTTGAGGGAGGGTTTGTATCTTGGTTTTGTAGGTAGGCAAAGAGCTGCAATCTTCATATTTTGGTAATGGCAGATTCTTCCAGGGCATTGCAGGGAACACCTGAGTACCAGAAGGTGGGCTGGGTTAGGCACTGGAGTGCCAAAGTCTCCTTCGATGACCTCTCTTTCCATTTTTTTTTTAATTTTTTTTTTTTTTCCTCTGTTGGCTCTGCCAAATCATTTAGGCTGGTGCTGATGAATATATCCTACAGTACATCATGGTTAGGGCTCTCGGTTCTTGATGAGTTGGTTAAGAATTTTTCCTGTGTGGATAATCTAGGATTTTAGGAAAGGAAAATAGTAACTTTTCAAAATCAGTAGTTTTGTGTACACAATATGAGAATAGTCTTATGTGCTAATTACGAAATAAGTGTGTGTAAAAAGCATTGACATTTCTTTCCATTTGGTCAAATGTTCTAATCTCCCTGTATAATCTTTTGACCCTGTTGGAAAAAGTATTTTGAATTTAGAAGAAGAAAGGGTTTTACAGATGGAGACAGTAATTCAGCCTTATAATACTGCAGATAATTGTATTTACTCCTGATTTATTTGGGTTTCTATTTAATTTCTGTGGTACTGGGTACCTTTTGAAAAGTTTGGATTAATGACTTTCTTATAGGATGCTTGCATTTTTTCATGATGCAATGACCAATATATTTTTCGATGCACAATATTCTTTGGTATTTCAAAAATTGTGTGGCTTGGTTGTTGACTGTTTTACTGTAGAGAACAGTGGAAAGAGAATGCTTGCATGCAAGTCTTGCACGTTGCATTGCCTGTGACTTAAGAGGCCCATGCATAACAGAGTTTAGCAAGTGCCTTAACTGTTTAAGCCTAAAGTGGAAAAAATCGTGTAACTGCTTCTTGTGCCTGTGGTTAAACTGTCTTGTATTTCCAGGCCTTCCTTTACGTGTGAAAATGGCCATCTAGCCTGCGTATAGGGTGGAGCATGCCGACCCTGATGCTTAATTGAAGCATATGTAGCTCATGACCCACATAGTCGTGTAAACTGCAGCAGTATTCAGTGAAGACTGGATGTTGAGTGCAGTTTATTTACAAGATGTAGTTTGTCTCGTAATAAAAGGCAGAGAATGCTAAAATTGCAAGGGGGAGCTTCTTAGGATATCTTACTGCTTTGTGCTCTTTGCAGTCCTAAAACTTCGCATTTTTAATGAAATTTTAAACTACGTGACTTCACTCAAAATGGCTCAGCTTCCAGGAAAAAAAAAGAGTAAGTGGCATGAGGTATACTGTGTTTAAAAATAGAGCCCAAGTTGGAAATGCTATTCATTTAAAATATTTGATCTCATTTTAAAATTTAAGTTTGTTAGATGCTTTGTAATAAGTTTTTCATTCACACAAGTCCAGTAAGGGCTGGTAAGGTTTTAGAAGAAACCAACTAGCAATGCATTTTATTGGTGGAAAAGTATTTCTTTGTTCCAGACTAAACCATGTTACTTAGCAGTGTTAAGGGCCTGACAGACTCATTTTGCCTCTGGAGCCTGGAATGATCTTGGGTTTTGGTCAAGAAGATTCATGCAAGTTTTGCTCTGAATTCATCTAAGTTGGCTTGAATATACAGCAGGAAAATGGTACTGGCTGGGGACTTCTCGGGGTTTGATTCAGTTACCTACTTATGTCCTGTAGAGGATGTCCTTGATCCTGCAAAAATTCATCTTCATCTTTCTGCACTTAGGAAGGATACAGATTTTTTTAATTGTCCAGATGGAGAAGACAAGGTAGTAGTAGATGCAATTGTATTCATGCATTATTCTCTTCTGGGGTTAGAGATACATGCTTACATTTCCTTACAACCTAAGGCACTGGTGGTGAGGCACTGGAATAGGTTGTCCAGGGAGGCTGTGAATGCTCCATCCCTGGCAGTGTTCAAGGCCAGGTTGGACGAGGCCTTGGGTAATATGGTTTAGAGCGAGGTGTCCCTGCCCATGGCAGGGGGGTTGGAACTTGATGATCTTAAGGTCCTTTCCAACCCTAACTATTCTATGATTCTGTGATTCTAAATGAAAAAAAAAAAATCCTCTTAATATGTTGTCCTAGTATGTGCATACTTGTGAATAGTGTTGTTTGACAGCTGAAGCCTATGCACAAAACCCCCAGCATTTGAGCCCGTGCTGAGTTGTGCAGCCCTTGCTGCATCCGTT